TGGAGGACAGGCAGAGAGGCAGCACAGAGGAGCGGACAATCCGCTCTTGTTCCAGGGGTTTTACATGATGGAGGCAAGTCAGGCCCACCGGGGCCGCAGAGGCAAAGGCAGGCAGCATTGCTGCACCACTGGCCCCACAATGCCACTGGCCCCACAATGCCACTGGCCCCACAATGCCCAGTTCCAGTCCATCTGTTATAAGAGGGGGTGCTCATGAATGGCATGTGTCACAACACAAAAGTACACTGACCACCCCCGACTCTCTTCCTGGCCCTGCTCGACCCCCCCTCCGCAAACCACACAGCACGTTTTTCTGGAGGCGGGAGTTGTAGCCTCTAGCCGAGGACCCGACCACCATATGGTTGAATAATTAGTTTTGGACTCCAGTGCACAAAAACGTGACCCCCCCCCCCCAACCCCCTTCAAACCAACTGCAGCTTGACAGAAAGCCCTGCCCTGCAGCGTTTGTATTAATGGTGGGGTGGGGGGGAGGATTATGGGCAAATGCCGATGCAGTGGCTGCCATCAGGGCTTGCCCTCCCCCCCACACTTTAGGGGGTACCCCTTAATGACAGCTGGGGCAAAATGAAGCTAATGAGTGTTAAAATCACATAACTGTGGATTTGAACAGGAATCATGATAAGTATGTCATAGGTTGAAATTTTAAAAGGATGGATGGCACTCTTCCCTATTATTTCATCCTCCTGAAATAGCTTTTCACTTCCATCCATCAAGTAAGCAGCGAGATCTTCAGTCACAGATGATTAGGAAGACAATATGGCTCACAAGCAGCTTACTTGCGTAGTCACGGGTCCGAAGCACCCTCTGGGCTCTATCCACTGGTGCGCACCTCAGATGGTTAAAATCCATTCTGGGGTAAGAGCTCAGGAAACGGGGTGGTCTGAGGTCTGCAGGACAGGCCTTCATGTGGGCCAGGAAGCGAGGGCATGGACATGCCGACCTGTCTGCTGGAGGAGGGTCCTGCTTCACAGAAAGAAATGGAGAGAGGTGAGGGGGGGGCAATGGCAGAACTCATATTCAGGAATTTACAGCCACATGATGGCTGTGTATTGGTGGCTGGAGTTGCCCACACGTGTAGAAGAAACCTAAGGAGTGGATGGAACATCCTAGCAGCAGTATTGGCATGTCAATGCTCAAAAACAATGCTCTCTGTAAAGCCTCAAACTTCTCTGTGAAGGCTCAAGGTTTTCTGTGAAGGCTCAAACGTCTCGGTGAAGCCTCAAAATTTTCTGTGTAGCTTGTGGAGCTTTAAGGCTGGCAACAAGCTAAAGATCATTTGTGATTTGTGGTGTATTACAAGGTAAACACAAGCTCGGAACTGATGAGCAAACTTAACAGTTAGATGGCTGATGGTTTCACATGAAAGACCAGGTAACTGCAGAACCAGGAGGCATAGTGACCAAAATTATCAATTAAGATCTGTAATCCAAAAGTATAATCTAAACCAATGCAGCCCCTTGGTGTTGTACCACTCAACAGTGCACTTCTGTTAATTTGGACTGAAGCACCTGGCAATTATCTAGATAATGATAAAATAATTAGCTAAGGTAAAAAAAAAAAGTGTTATTACTGTTTTTTGTATTCAAACCCAACTTTAGGAGTTACAGTTACTGGGGACGCACATAAGCTATTAGCGACATGAGCTTGTAGCTTAGTAACAACCTCGTCGAGGTGGACACAGGCACAATGTGAACTCTGCCAGCCTCAAAATCAGGATGCAGAGATTCACAGTTAACTGTTGCCTCGGTTCCCCTCTCACAGTCAGCAAATATGTGCAGTTCTCTCAGTGAAATCTGATGTCTGCAGCTGGTGGTTGATACACTACAAGATCTTTGCTCCTCTTTACTGCCCCCTAGTGTTTCCAAAGGAATTTGCTCCCCACCCATGCAGGCAGAAAACAAACAGTCCACTCCATTTCTATGTGCTTCTCCTCGATTTTCTTCCATCTCCTGGTCCAACAAGAGAAGAGCATTTGTGGCCAAATCTATAAATCTAAATCCTTAACTTCCCTTACAGACACGCAGAATTAGGAGGGTCCCCCATAATTCCTGGCCGTCCCACATTTACCCAGAGGAGGAATCGCTTGGCAGAGACAGAAGCTGATGGTTCCGTAAACAGGCCCAGATGGGAGAGGGGTGCTGAGCTGCCCTGCGTGATGGATGGTGTAGAACACGTCAGCCTTGCCTGCTGCTTGATGGGACACTATCAGGACCAGCCCGCCATCCCCCACCCCTGCCTTTTACAAAGCAAACACCCAAATGTAATAAAGTGTTACCACTGAGACACGCACACATACATATAATGTTTATTTATGTTTGACTTTGGGTTCTTCTTGGCCACTTAAGCAAAGTTCATCCTCCCCCTTTCTCATTCTCACTGTCACTTGTTCTTGTGTGTGGCTGACAGTTGGTTTGGGGGGGGGTGGGCACTTTTACAGAGACGCACTAAAACAGGACAAACACTGCTTAAAGTTCAGCTCGCCTCCCAGCCGGCCCGGCTCTGGTGCCGCGCACCTGCACGCCTTCACGACGGGGACGCTGGTGGTGTTCGTTGAGCTAAAGGAAATGGGATGATATTCAACTCCCAAACTCCCAAAGTGGCTGGAGTGCTTCGAGCCAAAATGGCCGACCATCTTTGAGCCAAAATGGCTGAGGCGCTTCAGACCAAATGGCACACTCCTCCTGTTGTAGATGTAAAGGTGGGGCAGAGGCCCTATCCTGTACGATTTTAGCAATGGAGTCATCATTAGGCGTAACAAAGACCAGTTTTGCGGTGTTGTGGGTGGGTAAATACACAGAAGCCCTGTTGCAGGAGTAATGTAGGTATACTGTAAATGCTATAGCGACTGACATCCTTTAGCAGGGAGGATGGAGAACCTGAGTAATCACAATGGCAGTTGGTGTAGAGAAACACAGGGGATCATCCCTAATACGACCATAATCCATTTGAGTTCTCCAGTTGCTTTAACTCTGAAAGGAGCCCAGGTTTTTCATGAAAAAACACACCGCCACATCCCAAGGCTCACAAAACAAGGCAGCCGGGACGCCTTTCCATCACGCCGCGGGGGACAGGTCTCGACAGGCTCCTCACCACTAAACAGGTGGTGATACTTTCCGAAATGTCCACACCCCTGCTCTTTCTACGACTATGCCCACGAACAGGCGGCCAAAACATACACGTGCCCCTTCCACGTGGAAGAATCAGACCGTAGGCCCCAAACAAACATAGGTTGGAGACAATGGTGGCGGCTTAGCTTTCAATAAAGGGTGGCAGTAGGCTCTGGTAAACACAGGTACCAGCAGGGCCAGCCCTGAATGTTCTGGTGCCCTAGGTAAGATCATGCTGAGCCCCCCCCCCCCTCCCCAGAGCAGCAAAAAAAAACAAATTCTGTCAATTCATGTATATTAAAAACATTTCATTATCACGGGGTATCTGGCTGCTAACTAGTTAGCTTGTGTCTGATTCACAAGAAAAGTTGTGAAATATTAAAACTTCAATGTCATGGGTTGCAACCAGAGGTATTTCTTCTAATTGTCTTTTGTGCCCCCTAATCAAATGGCACCCTAGGCGGTCACCTATGTCGCCGATAGGGCGGATGGCCCTGGGTACCAGCCTCGGGCGTATAAGCATGTGGGCACCTGTAGGGTCTTCAGCTTCCCCCAGGCCTCAAGGAACTGAGGCACCTCTGGGGGCCCCTTCTGGAGCCAGGAAGCCAGGCGGGTTCGTGGCGTCGGGAAGCCAGCAGGCACACAGTCCCCAGATAACCGCATTAATGTCGTTTGTGCTCGACAGCTCGCCAGCATCTGCGCAGAGCAGCGGAGCCCAATGTAGGAAGTCTATTAGTTAGCGCCGCAGATGGCCTGCAAAGAAAAAAGCTCTGGTCCTCCGCCTGCGCACGCACACGCACACGCGCATACAAACTCATAATTGACACTGACACTGGATGAACCTTCTCGGCAGGACACGAGCAGCTCCCCCCCCCAAAAAAACGGCTTGGGGGGCCGAACAGAAGCCAGCTTCTGTCTCGCGGCCCCCAGGAACAGTGAATTCCTCTCAAACCCAGGAGGATAAGAAAGCCAGGCTTAGCGCTAACAAGGTTAAACCTCGTGCAGGACTTCCCGTGGAGGGGGGGGGGACCAAGTGACTTTTAAATGATGGAGATTTGTGTTTCTGCAGGGTGTAATTAGTTGCGTCGGCTTTGGGGCAGGACAGAGGGGTGCATTGTGGAGTCCCGGGACCCAGGGGAGTAAATCTGATTATGGGCTGGTGTCAGAAGCCAGGCTCAGCGGCAGCCTGCCGTTCAGACCACGCAGCTACTTTCACTGACACACAATGGCCCTCCTCTTCAAAACCCCCCCCACCCCAACTCTTGCACCCAGCCACAAACTCATCCACAACCCCATCTGCAACCCTTGTGCAAAAAAAAAAACACCATCAGATCCTAATACTATAAATCCACACATAGAAATTTGGGATATAGTACAGCACTTTTGCCGCATACATACAATTCAGAGGCGATTGGAGTGACCCATCTTCGGGGGATGAAACCCTAAACAAATTTTGGAATGCAAAGGACACCCAAAAGTGACTGTGGCTCGCGGGGATGCTGGTGTGACTGTCAGCTCAGAGTGGTCCTGGGTCCGTCTGACCTGCTTACCGCATCCCGTGTTCCACTGGTCTGAGGGTGACACCGGACCAGACACCACCCAGAGTCTCCCAGTCCTGACACACAGATTTCCTGTATCCTGTACTGTATGTAGCTGCCCCTGCTTTATCCCTGTCTGACTCCCCATCCCACGGCTGCATCCCCAGTGGACAGAGCAAGACTGGGAAAAGTTTCCCTTTCGTATATTTCTTTGATGGTGGCTCAGTGGGCTATAAGCCTCTTGAAGGTTGCTGGTTCGAACCTCAACAGAATAGTCAGATGTCCATGGGCCCTTCAGTAAGGCCCTTTATCCCCAGCTCCAAGGGCGCTGTAGATGGCTGGTCTTCACCGTGATCCCCAAGTTTACTCTCACTTGTATGCATGTCTCATGGAGAGCAACATGGAGAAGGTGAAAAGATAATTTCCCCATGGGGATGAAGAAAGGATTCTATTCTATTTCTAGATTCTATTCTATTTTCAAGATTTCTAGATTGTTTTATAATGTTTCATAAATGATTGTATAGACACCACTATTATGATGTCATACTTCACCGCTGTCAAAAAATTGTGCACAATCAAATGCATGACACTACAGCACTGCATGTAATATTCTAAATAGTATGATGCATGACATCAAATTTCTCTTCTAAAATAACATTCAATGCAGAAGAGTTGAAAACAGTTGCACCTGTATTTTGCAACCATGTCTGCAAATTTCATACTTGTACAGTATTTTTAGAGTATAGTTTCATACTTCAGTGTGTAGAGTGCCAAACAAAAATTCTCATATAAAGTATTAAAATGCTTCATCACTATGAAAAGAAAGAAGAACAAGCCCAGTGAAGGTGTGTTTCACTGTGTAGGGCTTTGAGAAGGGCATAGTGAAGGTGAACATCACTGTATAGGGCTTTGAGAAGGGTACACTGAAGGTGAACATCACTGTGTAGGGCTTTGAGAAGGGTACAGTGAAGGTGAACATCACTGTGTAGGAATTTGAGAAGGGTACAGTGAAGGTGAACATCACTGTGTAGGGCTTTGAGAAGGGCATAGTGAAGGTGAGCATCACTGTGTAGGGCTTTGAGAAGGGTACAGTGAAGGTGAACATCACTGTGTAGGAATTTGAGAAGGGTACAGTGAAGGTGAACATTACTGTTTAGGGCTTTGAGAAGGGCACAGTGAAGGTGAACATCACTTTATCGGGCTTTGAGAAGGGCACAGTGAAGGTGTACATCACTGTGTAGGGCTTTGAGAAGGGCATAGTGAAGGTGAGCATCACTGTGTAGGGCTTTGATAAGGGTGCAGTGAAGATGAACATCACTGGGTAGGGCTTGGAAAAACGGGGGCTCAATGTAAGTCACTGTCACAGACAAATGTCACTACTAAGTAGATTTTTCTGCTTATCAATAATCTGAATGTGCCAAAACGTTTTTGTTTTTTTTTTATCTTTTTGATTTAGGGTTAGTGGAAGCTCATTACAGTGCTTTTTAGTCTCTGTGTGTCACAGTGTGTGTGTCACTAACAGGCGTAATTGTAAGCAGTTAAATATGGAAATGGGCCGGCGATGAGCAGGCAGGTCTTTGTCTCCTGCTCTCCGCTTGTTTAACCACAGGCCGCATCAGCCCCCCCACCCCAGCCTCATGGGGCCCATGGCAACGGCACTGCTGGCTGAGGAATACAGAAGGAGCGTGTGTATCAGTGTGTGGATGGGGGCTGCTGGGAAGGGCCGGGGGGGCACTTCTGAGAAAAGGGTCGCCTGGGTTAAGTTCTGATTGTATAAAATGAAGAAGCGGGAAGAGCAGCCCAGGAAATAAAGACATAATAGGTGAGCCGTTTCCCCGATTGTGTGTGTGAGAGTGAGCACGAGTGACAGAGAGTGAAAGGAAGCAGGCGGGGTGACGGAACCTGTGATTTATGGGTGAAGCCTGGTGTGTTTGTGCTCGCAGACCCATAGGAGCAGCTCTGCACATTTACAAGATGGTATTTTGGTAAGTCACGCATTTTATTTGAGGTGACATACAGTATGAGGCTGGCACCATACAATAGTAAAGCTAAATTGCACAAGCTCAGTAAGGAAGAATTACTCCAGGTGCAGTGGTACACTAAAGATGAAGTACTCCTTGTGCAGTGTCTCAGTAAGGATGAATTACTCCCTGTGCAGTGGTACAGTAAGGATGAAGTACTCCCTGTGCAGTGGTACAGTAAGGATGAAGTACTCCTTGTGAAGTTTTTCAGTAAGAATGAAGTACTCCTTGTGCAGTGTCTCAGTAAGGATGAAGTACTCCCTGTGCAGCTGATACAGTAAGGATGAAGTACTCCCTGTGCAGTGGAACAGTAAGGATGAAGTACTCCTTGTGCAGTAGAAAAGTAAGGATGAAGTACTCCCTGTGATGTTTTTCAGTAAGAATGAAGTACTCCTTTTGCAGTGTCTCAGTAAGGATGAATTACTCCCTGTACAGCTGATACAGTAAGGATGAAGTACTCCTTGTGCAGTGTCTCAGTAAGGATGCATTACTCCCTGTGCAGTGATACAGTAAGTACGAAGTACTCCCTGAGCAGTTGTACAGCAGTAAGACTGTACACTATTGGCCAAAATTGATTGTGGAAACACCTAGCATTTTTGGCATTATGTTTTAAAAATTACTACACGAATATTGCAGGTAATATTTATAAATAATCAAAGAATGTTATAAATACCACGCACTGGATAAATAAATAAGTAACTGGAGTAAAACTGGAAGTGTTTCCACAACTTTGGCCATTAGTGTATGTGCCATGCAGTGTCTGAGTAAGGATTAACAGTAACAGTGCATGTACTGTGAAGGAAAGTACTATAAATGTGTTGCATATTATGTTAAAATCATGGTTTTGTATGGTGAAGGAGAACAGGTGGCCACACTGGGGAGCAGTGTGCAGAGGATGAGGCCGTGGCGTTACTCACTGCGTGGCGGTAAAGTCCTCTGTCCCACAGGACGGCCTTAGTAACGAAGGAGAGATAAGAGGGAGGAGCCTGAAGAACAAAGAGCAAACAGTCACCCACATACGTCCGTATGAAGCTACATGGTAACAAGCATAGACAAAACCACACATCTATGATGCAAGAGGATCTCAGACACACACAGAGCCACACAGCAGCCTCACCCTCCGTTTCTAACCCCAGGTGGGAAATCCAGGGTGATGCCCTCCTGTTTTTGTTTACTTAACAAAGTGATTCTTGAATGGGAGCACGTTGTAGCAGTATGGCGGGGCACAAAGGACCCCGTCAGGGCAGCCCCGCTTCTATGCTGATGGATGTAGTATTGAGATGTCTGACTGTCAGGCAACCCCACCAGTACCATGCTGGGATCAATATCTAATCCCTGGGCGGCACACACAAGCTGAGGCCTGGGACACCTCATGCGCATCCATCTCCTTCTCAATCTCCATCTCCATTTCCATCAGTCCAAGGAGGTCCATCAAAGGAGTCCCTAACCCATTCCTTCTGGGGTCACTGCACTGACCCGGGAGTTCATCGCTTGCCTGGCCCCCACTACCTGCCTCCCACCAGTCGAACAGCCGGCTGCTGACAGCGCGTTTTGTCAGGGGGGGGCTTCGGGGGTCAAGAGAGAGTCATCCATCTCCCCCAAGCTCCTGGCAGCCAGCAGAGACGATGTGTCACTGATGGTGAATGGGGCTCCCCCCCCCCTCCCCCAACCACCACCATCATCTAATTCAAATTACAGGCTATCCCCAGCAGGGGGCGCCGAGAGCAGGAAGTGGACAGCAGGGCGGGAAGGGAAGGATGAATGAGGGAGAAATGACGGCTAACGAAGATGAGAGCAAGATCATGGGACGGGTGAGTGAAGAATGTGAGAAGATGTTGGGAGGCAGCAAGGATGATAAGAGAAAGATGAAAAGGGCGAAAGGGTGGAGAAAGTTGAATAAATTACTTATAAAATAAAATGGTGAGAGGATTAAGATAAGAGGAACTTATTGCAGAATCTTGCTGGGCAGAGGATATCCACCTTCTCTGCATGTATATCCTTCAAAGAACCAGCAAGTCATTATTGTCCTCTGTAGAGGACACTATGTTTTTACTCATATATCTCATACTATACCTGCCACTCCTTTAAGTCCCATTGTTCCTTAAAGAGGACAGTTACAGCTTTAAGATGACATCACATGTGTGGAGGTGTGACCTTTTCAACTTCCTTTTCCTGTCAAATGACACAGCCAATAGGAAGTCTGCAGGTTTGATTTCAGAGGGAGATGTCTGCATCGCTCCATAACCTGGCATTCCCAGGGGGGATTCCCCCTGAAGTTCTAGGGAATCAGATATGCAAAGCCCCAGGATGGACCAGCATGACCATATATATGGCTGTCTCACTAGATGCCTGGTCAGGGGGCTGCCATCTTGAGATCCTAATCTCAATTCCTTTCCTGAAATGCAGTCTCACAGTGTCAAAGCCACCTTACCCACACATTGTGGATTCTAGAATGAATATGTTTGAATTCTAGACAAACAGTGCGCCTTCGAAAACTCCTGTTAGCATATCTGTCGCTAACCTCTCCAGATTAACTTGCACTTCCTGGAAAATAATAACTTGGACATGAATGGTTACCATTTGCTGCATGAATCGCAGGCACTCTGGACATAACAACCTTGTTGTCACTAATTACCTACTGAATGTAAAATCAAGTACATTTAGACACCAAAGACTGGGGGAGGGGGTTTACACAGAGCCTGAAAGCAGCAGGTGAAAGGAACACAGGCCTGGGAGGAGGGTGGGGTGGCAGGACTTGAGCGTAACTAGCGGGTGTTAATCGCTAATGACTGTGAGAGGCAGGGTGTAAAATGTGTGTGAATACAAAGGGACAGAGCACAAAAAACTTGGGGAGAGAAGAGGAGAAAGGAGCTGGAGGGAGCAGGAAAGGTTGAGGGCAGCGGTGAGGAGGGGGTCCGGTCCACGGATGGCTAAAGTACAGACAGGTGCTCAGGGTACCGCCATCGCTTTTAATGGGTGCAGCCCCTGCATGCCTGGGCTTTGAGTCTCTGCATGAATTTTCCCCACATGCAACATCGAGTACCAAGATGTGTCAACAGAGACTTTCTGTGGAGGTCCCATCTAAACATGGTTACCGTGCAGCAGATATTCCCTGCTCTGTAACTCCAGAAGCCAATAGCAGCCTTTGCCAAGGTCTTGGTACTACAGACTGGTGCCATGTGTGCTAATGGCGACCAAGAGTGACAACAGCTTGGCAGATCAAGGCCAGATATCAGAATCATACCATTAAGGGACCTACTCAAGGATTTGGTCAGAAGCCTTTATTAAACATGCGCCACCATATACAGAATCAGTCATGTGACCCTGAAAATGACCCGGAAAATGTCCACTGGGATGGATAAGCTTAGTGGAACAGCTCGTCCCACACCCCCACCCCCTCGGGACACCCACACACTGCTTCTGGGATTGCCTGCAGCACATATCAAAAACGACATCGACAAAGCGAGCGCGACATCTCCACACAGACAATCGCCCGCTAACTCCATTAATCCTAAAAGGGCTGATTCCTCTTTGAATGTCGTCGGGGTCTTATCTCCCCCAACACGACTCCGAGCCCCGCCGAGGGTTCGATCGCGACCAGTGACGCTTCCCTCTTTCACTGTTTAATTCAGTCGACCAGATCAAGCAGATTACTGGCGGGATGGGATTTTGACTTCTGGCCCAATGCAGACCCCTAAGCCCCGCCCCCTACAAACACACACATATACACACACTCGCAAAGTCAGTACTGTGGGGGGGACACTGTTTACCGTCGCACAGTGTGGGCCAGCAGGAAATGGGCACGCAAAGGTTGCGGAGAAATATGTTCCGTTTTATCAGTAATGAGAAGGAGGAGGCGTGAAGATCGAATTACCCGCTGGGAGCTAATAGCTGCAGGGGTGGATGTTCTCCAAGCCTCCTTCCCTCTCCTCTATCCCCCTAAGCCCACTGAAGCCCAGGCCCGGCCAGCCATCTGTCTCCCTGCCTTCTCCTGACCCTCCCAATCTGGACGGCTCATTCTTACCTGATTAGCTCCCATCTCCCAGGGCCGGCTCGCATTAATAGACATTCTCATCAGACACCTTTAATCAACGGCGGCTCCGTTGGTCTCAGCGGCGCAGTGAGGATGGGGGGAGGGGCATGTAGGCCCGGGGAACCGGATCTATGCAATTTCTGCTCTTGCCCCCCTTCCCCAGCCCCCACCCCCAAGAAGGCCCTGCTCAGTCAAAGTTGGAGACAAAAAGAGCAGGAGCACACTGACTCACTGGAGGGGAACGTTTAATGAGCTTCTGACGCCGGCTGTGTGGCCCGGTCCCTGTTTAATGGAGTCCTTCCTCAGCGTGCCAGTGTGCAGGGCGGATGGGGGGGGGCAGGTCATCCAGGAGGTCGAAGGATGCTGCAGAAGCTCCGTGACCCCGAACACAAACACTGAGCCACCGGCCCGACCCACTCGTGACACTCCCACCCCCGTTTCAATATGCTCACCGGTGGGGGGCACAATGAAACGGGCAGGCACTGACTTTCCAGCCACTGGGGTCTTTTCAGCAAACGGCCCGGCAGCCGGACACAAAGCGGCGGCCACCAGCCAACAATGGCCACCGGCACAGCTACGCGCCTCGCACTAACCTGCTTAACATTCATTAGCGCCTGGGAGCGGCGCAGATGCCAAGACTTTCGACGCCCACCCCAAATCGGGGCCCTACACCCCACCCAGTGCGAGGGCCATTCACTCCTTGGGGTCCCTGCCGATCTCTGAGGCCCTTGCCAGGCTGTGGATTTTAGTCAGCCCACCTGGGGACGGGCACACGTGCAGGGACACCACCCAGAGGGGACGGGGGCCTGCCGGATTAACTCCGCGCTGCTGGTACCAGCAAACCACTTTGTTTAAATCTCTTTTCCATTGAGTTTTGTCTTTCAACACAGTGGTGATTCAATGTTAGCTACGGGCCTCAACCAAGAGCAAATCTGTGGCTCTGGTGCAACTATAAGGCAATACAGAAAGTTCTTCTGCCTAAGGAGAGGGGCTGTCCCTCCTGCTGGCCAGTGATGTACCTTGCCACTCTCTCCATAGCTCCAGAGGATTGCTGAGTTTACCTTTGGCATGTGGACATCAAATACTGAGGCAAGGCACCACCAAGGAAGCGTCTGAGTCAGGTATTCGCACAAAATGCCATAGTTGCCTCTGCTTGAAAATCCCCCAGAGCTCCCACCAACAGACATTATCAACAGAGCCAAGAGCAGCAGGTGAAAGGAACACACGTTTACACTTTGCTTTAGCTCGTTTTGGTGCCACATAGCCACCGGTATAGCCTTTTCTACGGCTGCTAATACTATATCAATTAAAGTTCAGTACCTTACTTGCAACAGCCAGGTCCCTAATATTGTAAAAATCTCAAACTAATAGACGAACATTGAAGGCAATCACTGAAATGGAGATTCCTGTATATAAAGTTACTTCTTTATCTTCCAGTACAGTTTTTTCCCAAGGAATATACACATTTCTCTTTTTACAATGGCTCCAGAAGGCTGAAATGCAAAGAAATGTCTTATAGAAGTAGTGCTGTGTAAAAGCAAATCAGCGGCCTTGTTACCAGGGCAACAAGAGGTCTGACAACAAACAGTCAGCACATGTGCTGTCGAACACGCGGATGAAACCCGCACACGGAAAAGCACACATTTCTGGTTTTGCACACACACACATGCCGACTTACGGTTCTGGCCCGGCCGTGGGGGCGAGCTGGACCCCAGGTTGGGCCCCGTCCCACTGCTGGGTGATGCTGGTCACAAGTCCTCTGCTTCCTTAACGTTCTCCTCATACTTCCACCCGTTGGACTCGACTCCCAGCTGCATCTCCCCGGCAGCCTGCCACTCCTCGCCTCTGTTCCCATCTTTCCTCTTCTCTTACTTTCTTTCGCTCTCCCCTTCTCTCTTTCTGTCTGTCCCTCTCTCCGTCCCTTCTCTGTTAATCATTAAGTACGTTAAACCAGGCGTAAGCTTGCGGTTCTGCTCCAGTTAGTGTGAGCTCACACACTCCTCCAGTGTGACATCGCTGACACACACAAACTGCACTGCAACGTCTCGAGCCGTGGCTGGGTGACAGCCAGGGGCGCAGCCATCAATTCTGGACCCCCTGACAAAATGCCACGTCGGGCCCCCCTCCCTAGTTTTACATCATTCTACATATTCAAGGACTCCTGTGAAGTGCTGGGATTCCTGAATCTGCCAGGGTGTCCAAACCAACCAAGCAGCCACATCTTCAGGGCTGTTAAAGAGAACGGCTGTCTGTCGAAATCACCCACAAAGACTCATAGAGATTTACAACCAGACCACTGCAGTGACAACACGCACTGTTACTCCACTGCGACTTAGAACTGCTGGTCCACACAGCTAGTTCATATTGCACGCCTGCATTACATGTTCACACTGTTAGCCAGTATGGTCACTGGTGGTGCTAGGCCTCATCTCAGCCAAGCCAAGTCAAAAGTCCAGTCCAGAAGGGGGCTCAGAGAAATGACAGCCTCCCCCCCCCCCCCCCCCCCACACACACACACACATAGACACACACAGACACACACACACAGCTCCGAAGCAGCACCAATCGAAAACGGTAAACAGCGACAGCTGGGGCCGAAGGCTTTTCACTGCCCTAATTGAGAATGAACATGGACCGAGTTCTGGCTTGCCTAATTCATAAATCTTCAGCCTTTAATTACATTATCGTGGAATATGCAGGCCAACTCTGAAGAGACAATGATCCCTATCAGCCTGACCAATCAGAGGTCATCATCTGGAGTGCATCCCCCAGACCGCCAGGGTCTCGCTCAGACCGCGTCACAGCCAGAGGACAGAGAGGGAGGGAAATATGTGTTTAAATACTGAGAGGCCTCAGAGCAGCACGGCCTTTAGTGACAGGGCCGTAAGCATGTAAATGGGGGTTGTGCTGTAATCAAATCTTTGTGGGGACCGCTCATTCATTTCTATGGGAAAACTGCGAATGCTAACTATGATGACGGTAACCCCCACCCAGCCCTAACCTTAACCATAAGTAACCAAACAAAATTTTTTTTGCATTTTTAGTTTTTTGATTGCAGTCACAGATTGAGCTTTCCCCATTCTCCCCAGTTTTCTGATCCCTGCGTATTCATCAGTTTGTGGGGACATGTGGGGACATTGTGGGGACTAAAGGTCTGGGTGATTGAACTATCAAACCCTCTCGTGATTTCCTCTGCAGACGTCCTTTCCTCCGACCATCAGGACCAGGGGCTGACACACCATGACTGTGACTTTAGTCAGAGTGAGGTCACAGTCTTCAGATGACTGCCCCTGCTCCATCTGCTACACCAGGGTCAGCTCACAGGAACCGCGATTCGGACCCAATTCTATGAGGATCCACACAGGTTGGGGCTCTCCTGCAGCCGATGTTCCACCCATTATCAGATCAGCACAAAAAAAGCTAAACAGCCCAGTTATAGTCAAAATAATTGTGAGGGTCCGTCTCAGGGAAAATGAATCTCTCCAGTCCAAGGGTGTGTTAGAAAAGGCTGCTTTGTACCTCCTAACAGAAGACATATGCTGTCAGTCAAAGCCTTAAACCACTAAGAAACCACAGAACTGACCATTTACAACAAAAGAGCAATAAGAGAATCTGGTCTCTGAGTGTGTCAGGTTTAAGCTAATCGCAGAAGTGGCTTTTGTCTGCTTATAATTTAGACTTTTTTTTCTCCCTGTGAATGAGCATAAGTTGGGTTTGTCTGGGTCTAACCTAAACTCACCCTGCCCATCCTCTGCAGATGCCTGGCCACCTTCGGACGTCCCACTGCTCAGTGCATCATGGGTAATCCCAACGTCACAATAGCCGTTGCTAGGACATCGCTCAGTAATGCATCACGGGGGAAGCCCCGCTGGCAATAAATCAGGCCAGCATGCTTGGGGACGTGACGTCTGAAACAGAGGGTGTTCTCCACTAAACTGGTCTGTCTGTTATTAGTCATTTGTACACAAACGCGGAGGGAGTTTATGTCAAACAGACATCAACAAGCCACTTTAGAAAAGGAGATAAAGGCTTTATGTGGAAATGCCACCCTCCTAGTTAGTAACCTTCTGTTTCTCATTTCTGCGAGAAAATTCTATCCACACAGCAACAGGTAATTGATTCTTATATTAAAATAAACCCAGGATTTAAAGTCAAAGAGGGGACATCAATACCAGCAACAGGCACCCTGGAGGGGACCAGGGAGCGAGAGGCGGGGGGGGGGGGGGGGGGGG